CCGGGAAACCCCGATCCACGATCTCCTTAGCTCACGGCGAGGGCGCCGGGGCCGGCGCAGAGGAGGGCTGGTACGTTTTCAAACCTCTGCCGACTGCTTAGTCACAGCCCCCTCGATTGGGTGTGTCCTTCGCTCGCTCCCTCCCTCTTAGGTCACTTTCAACCCTCAAATAAAAACGGCGCCCAACTTCCGAGGCGCCCTCATTGCCCAGCCAGACCCCAGCCTCCGCCAGGTCCGGGCCGCCGTCCTTGCTCAGCTCTCTACGGTTCCCCAGCCTAGCGCCCCGGGACGCTCCGGCCCCGCTCGCTCGCTCGCTCTCCTCCTCCGTCCGCTCCGCTCCGACACCATGAACAAGTTCGGGTGGTGCGCCGTGTGGGGACTCTGCCTCTTGCAGCCGAGCCTGGCGCAGATCGGTAAGATCGGTGAGTGCCTGCCGCCCGGGCAGCGGGGGGGAGTGACAGGAGAGGGTCTGGACTGACCCTGGGGACCGGAGCCAAAGGGGGTGCTGCAGCTCGGATTTGGTTAAGGAGGGCTAGGGTTTGCGCTAAACTGTTGGAGAGCTTGCTGGTTGGAGGCACCGCTTTGTGGGCAGGAAGAGAGAGAAGAAAGTTGGGCGCGCAGTTTTGGGCGAGGTCGCCGGAGCCAGAGCACAAGGCGGAAAGTAACTGTACTCCTGGATGCGCGCAGCGGGTGTCTGCGCTCACAGTCTCCGGTCCCAAAGGCGCTGGAGCCCGGCCGGGCTGTCGGGCTGTGGCGGAGCCAGGGCAGGGCTGGGCAGGGCTGGGCAGGGCAGGGGCTGTGAGCCCGGTGGCCACAGAGCTGGGCACGGCTGCATGAATGAGAACTGGTGGCCATGTGCTTCCCGGGAAGGGGCCCTGGCTTCTTGCGCCTGCCCATTGCGCCTGGCTTTCAAAGCTCTTACAGTTGGCTCCAGTCAGGGACTGTCTCTGCGCTAGTGGGAGCTGGAACCAGCCCTGCGGGGGAGCTCCTGGGTCTCCACGAGGTGCCAGCCAGGGCCAGGGAGGGTGAGTCGGCAGGCAAGGCAATGACTGGGCCAGCTGCTCAGCCCTTGTCAACTCCTGCTTCTGCCAATCAGTTAGGGGAAATCCAGACAGTAATGAGGCGAATATTTCCTGCCTGGCAGCCTTGGAGGAGGGCCGGGAGCCTGGGCAGCAGGAGCTGGGGCCGCCAGGGTCCCATCGCACCCGGTCTGTGGTTGTGGAGGGGCGGCTGTGTGTGTGAGGTATTCTGGCCAAGCTGGGTTCCAGGTGTTTCTTGCCTTTGTCTATATATGTACAGATAATTACACGGCTGATTTGCTTATCGCTAAGAAAATTAATTTTCCTTTTAAGACGTGCCAGCTGGGTCATTAAGACAGCTCAGCCTATGGTTAATTCTACCCAGCAAAGTATTTATTATACCCAGCTCTGGGGGTACTGAGAAAGTAAAAGACACAGCCCTAGCTGGGTACTTCAGACTATGGAGAGGTGGAGATCTCTGAGTTAGATTCCTGAGCTGGAAATAATAGGAATGCGAATAGGAATGACAGCGCTAGCAAGCGTTTATTGCACACTTTCGCTACCCCGGAACGGTGCTAAATTCTTTACATGTGTTAGGTCATTTTGCCCTCATGCCGGCCCAGTGAGAAGTGGCCTGTTATTAGCCTGTTTCATGGGTGGGGGTGGGGGGTTTTACAAATGGAGGTTAAATGACTTGCACGTGTCACACAGCCAGAGGGTTGGTGTGATGTGAGCCCAGGCCCCCTAGCCTGTGCTTGGGCAGGATACGTAGACTCTATGTTTGGCGTGGACAAAATCAAAAAGGGATTCGGGGAAAGCAGGGTTGTGGTGGGCCAAAGGCCTTAGCGGGGCTGAGCCTGGAGAGCCAAAGAGCCCTTGGAAGTAAGACGCGCTTGGGATGGGAGAGAAGAGAGAAACTTGGGTGCAGGGAGGGCCCTGGGCCGGGCCTCAGAGAAGAGGGGCCTCTGGGGAAGTTTACTTGTCTGTTACCTTCCTGTGACATCTTCTGCTTTGTTTCTGAGAATTCGGGCTCCTGCCAATCTGTCTGCCTGATTCTTCGAAAGGACCCCCCTCCCCAGACACTGGATGCTGTCCTGACCCTTGAGGTTCTCCCAGAGACCAGCAGGCTCACTCCTGCACCCCTCTCTCCCATTTTCATGGTCCCTTTGGGCAGCAGCATTTGGAGGAAGCACAGAAAGTGCCGGTAGCTATAGCTGCCCGACCCTGGCTTCCATGTGCTTGGAAGGTTGTCTGGGGGGAACTAAGGCTTGGAAAGGAGAGAGGCGTGACTTATCCGTGCGCTCAGGCTGGGAGGGAGAGAGCAGAAGCAGAAAGAGGAGGGGGAAGGAAAGGCACTGTTATTGCCCATTGGGGGGGAGGGGGGCCCTCTAGAAGACAAAGAGGAAACTTTGAAAGGGGCAGGGCTTTGGGGAGGAAGAAAGGTCCAACCTCAGTATTGCAAAGCAAAAAGTAGAGAAATGGCTAAATGGAGGGAAACAACATTGGACCCAGAGATCCTGAACTGGAGAACAGATACCTGGAACTGGGTGTCATATGTGGGAGAAGGAAAGTAGCCTTGGGTCAAGGTGGGGTAAGCCCTCGGGCACACATCTATCTCTCCGCCAAGGGCCAAAGGCCATTGCTAGGGAATCGCGCCCCTGGCGTTGAGAGAGGGGTGCATCTGAGTGCTCTGGGGCTTGGGGCTGGCAGTGCCCTCTGCTGCCTCTGAGCATTAGACACCCCTCATGGGCATCAGAGCTGCGGCTGTGTTTTCCCAGATGAAGGAGCAAGGCAGCAAAGCTCCATCGCTGCAGGGGTTAGCATCACTTAATTCAGTTCCTCCCCAGATACACCCTGGACATCTCTTTCCTGCACGGGCAGGGTGCCAGGCGGGCGTGTTTGAGGCTGGCAGCCAGTAGGAAAAGGTTCCATTTTTCCCCCCAAATTGCACCATGTGGGAGGGGATGCTGGGCAGCATGAAATTCTTAGTTTATGACAGCTCCCTTTCATTCATTCAAGAAATATTTTTTGACTCATAGACTCAGAGACGGGACTCCAAGGATCTTTCAGAAAACCCCCTTCTTTTCCCCTAGGAAGAAACAGCCCCTGAGAGAGAGAGAGAGGCATGGCTTGCTCTCTCTCAGACAGTGTTAGGGTCTCTGAAATGCCACTGTTGACTATTGGCATGGGCCCTACCTCGACCCCCTGCCATGGGCAGGCAGCGTGTGGTCTACTGGTGTTTCACGCCTTCAGTAGTGTCTTCACCAGTCATCACAGTTTCTTATTTACTCCGCATTATACCCAGTTTGAGTTTAATCTGAGAATAATGAGATGTATAAAGTCTTACCTTAAAGCACCGTTGGTGCTCCGTGAGGAGTTTCTCTACTGCCTGGGGCGTTCCGGGCCTCCTGGATCATTGCTGGATCCCTGAAAGTCAGGAGCACCCCAGTTTTAAAAGCCTGACTCTCAGCTAATGCACCCTATGCTTCTGCCCAAAGTAGGGGTCATAAGTCCCCAGGAAATACCACTGACTGAGCACCAACTCCCCACTGGACATTCAGCGAGGGGGTAGCATAGGTCCTCACCACAGCCTCCATACATTTAGCTCCATTTTCTAGAGAAAGACATGGGCCCAGGGAGATGCCGCGACTTTCTCGAGGGCACACAGCTAAGTGGTGGAGGTGGGTCCCCTGTTGGCTCACATCCCCCATGTTAGACTCCGATGCCTCCTTTGCCGCATCGCTTTGTCAGGCCTCTGGCTGACTTTTAAGTCCGGTGTGGATCTCCCACTCTCTCCACCCCC